GCGATTGGTCCCGGCCGCGGAGATGCAAGGTCTCGAGCATGCATGTCGGGATGATGCGTTTCTACAGCGAGAGATCGGTGGGTTAGCCGCGAACGCCAAAGAGCTAAGAAGCGATGCAGAGCCTTACGATCTGGTGCGACCTGGTGTACCGAAGGTGACAATGGTAGTTGCGCAAGTCCAAAGGGAGACCCAACGTTTGGAGCGAAGCGCACTGCTCGACGATGTCGCGGAGATCGCCAGGCCTGTATTTGAGCACCGATGAAGGGTCTATGAGATTCTGCCGGGGATCCAGGACTAGCGTACGAAGCGTCGATCTATGGCCCTTTACCTGCTCGAACGGAATGGGTTCTGATAGCCCACCGATGCAGAGGGTGACATGTTCGACATTGCGTGCCGACCTGAGCCACGCCGTGAAGTTGTCAGGAGTCCCCGACTCCGCATGCGCCACGATCCGAACCTCTGTCAAGTCGGGTGGCACGACGAGCGCAAGTTGTCTGCAAAAAGCCTCGGCGCCAGAGCAGTACCTCAGGTCGAGCGACTTCAGCGCAGGTACGTTTCTCGGATCGAACAGAGCCACGTTGGTAAACGCAAGGCTTAATCGCTCGACTTTGCTGAAATTGGCGTGGTTCAAAAGAGCCGCAGCCCTTGCTTGTGTCAGGTTGCACGACAGTGTGAATGAGAGGTGGACTTCCGCTAGCGACACGCAGCGGTTCAGATGCCACCGCACCCACTCGATGCTCTGTGGGCCGACGGCACCGCAGTCGAGCTGTTGCAGATTCGGGAAGACGAGCCCGGTGAAGGGATACGCAGCAGTCCAGCTATATGATCGAATCGCTGTCGACACATCAGGCGAACTCAAGATGTGCTTCAGCATGATGCTCAACAGCGTGGAGGTCTCGCGCGTCCATAGGCAATCGTCATCTACCACAACCTCAACGCGTCGGATCAATTGATGGAGGTAAGAGGGCCGCATCAAAGTGCTGAGAAGTTTCGGCATCCGCTGGTCATGTATCCCAGACCTCACTCGAATCCGCAAAGTCTCGTAGAGTCTGGGCGTGACGAGCGTATGGTAGAACCTGCAGCATCTTGCCGTCCTGCTCAAGTCTGACGGTCCTAGGGTGTCAAATATGAGCAGAAGGACTTCTGGGGGGAAGTTGCGCATTGTGATTGAGACGACGATCCTGAAGCAGAACGAATCAACGGTGTATAGATTGAGGGCTGCTGGATTCCATGAATGCTTGCGTCTGCATAGCAACCGTTGGCATCTAAATACGAAGAAGCTCCAGCATCGTGACTTGTTGATTCTCCTTATTTCATTCAAAAACTTTTGTTCTAACGGATGTCTTCAGCTTTCCGTATCTTTTAGTCGTATTCCTAACCCGGCCAGGTCGTTTAGTCAACAGCATGTTTCATAACGTATCTATTCCCTCTCATTTTACGCGTCCGTCGATAGCCCTTAGGATGGACACATCGAGGGCTCCGCACGTTCTGAGTCAGACGGATTGTGTAATTGTCACAAAGTGGTTGACCTTTCTGCATTCTGCTTCTCAATGTCATTATTCCGCATGACTCTTCGCCATGAAGGAATCTTGTTTCGTATAGCAAATGGCCTATCAGGCTATCCAAAAGCTCCGGCCGAAATCGAGGTTTGTAGCCTTGTCAACTTGAAAGACCGACCCACGCTTGACAAGGCCGGCCCCACTGACTTATATAAACGATGAGAGCTGACGGCAAGAAGGCGGTATGGATGCTCCGAGAGAGCCTTAGGTACTTCACGCTGATATGAAATCATCGACTGTCATTTCTTATGTAAATCGGTCGACATGGTAAAACGTTGTGATTACTGCGCACCGTGGAGAGCGTGCCGAAACTGGATGCGTTCTATTGTCATGGTCGCCAGTGAGTGATTCTTACATGGCAGGCGTGGTTCACGTCTATGCTTCCACATTTTCTTGGCTCGCCCTCATACTATCTTGGACCGTAACCTCTCTCGCATAGGAGTCTCATTGACATTACCTCCTAGATAGTCTAGAGCCATCTTATGCAATACGAAGGATCTCAACACACTGAAGCAAGACCTTAGCTCAGCTCTCGTGAGTCGACCCTGGTCAACTGAAAGGTCTTGTTAGCACGCAACGTGCATAGGGTGAGGTTCGACAAGTTCAAACGGATACTTGAAGCGGGCGTTCCTCTTCCTCGTCTCGGACTCACTAGTGATCATATCGATTTCGGACATGTGTATAGTTCTCAAATCCGTTTTTACTGTGTGCAGCCACGCAGAGGAGCTCGTCATGATATGCCGGCACGCCAAGCGCCCAGAAGCAGACAACAGCCCACAAGCCCACAGACAACGCGAGCTCTGTGGCAACCGAAAAAGAGGACGCTTCCAGAGGGAAGGATTCTGTGCCATGTGCATCGACTTCTTCAAACCATACGACATCACTCATTCGGCCAGTGTGCAGAAGTACCAGAGATACAAGGCAGAAAACGGATGGACCCAGCCCGTTCACCCATCCAGAATACCCCGCGACTATCTTTTTGCATACAAGGTCATCGTGGTGCCCCGCTCAGTCCATGTTCTCGGCAGTCAAGCCTGGGCGAAGCTACAGGTCGCCTCCCAAAAATGGTACAAAGGGATTCATACACCGACGTCGGTGGACTTTCGTCGCTGCATCGATGGGTTACACCTGGATGAGAATGTAGCCCGAAGATCAGTACTCAGAAAGCCACCAAAGGCGCTGACACCTGAAGTTTGCATGAAAGAACTCCCGCCCCTGCCAGATGGTGAGGCCGACGGCTCTGTTCGCCCCTCACGGATTCAGTGTTCAAGACGAGCTGATGTGTCCACTCGATGAAGATATTCTGATGCATGGTATCTTGGGCAAGAGTTGGGCAACAGAATGGCAGTTGGATATCGCTTCGACTAAATGAGCGAATAGTGACGAAAATGCTTTGCGCCGGAAACCCAATAAATACCTTTTTCGCTCGTT